TATCAGAGTTGATTGAAGCTGAGCCAGATGAAAACCATCCACACCACAGAAGAGGACTCCACCGGTTGTGGCACTGAAAGCACCATGCTCTCGTCATGGCCCGTGGTGGGGTGCGAGACGTGCCGGGAAAGCGCCGACGTGTGGCGAGGCCTCTGTGGAAAGGGGAAAAGGTGGGACAAGGATGGACAAGGCCTTGATTTTTGAATTGGAAACGGATGATCAAGGATGGAAAAGGAACTTTTTGATGATTGATTATTGACAATAAATTATTGATGATTGGATCCCATTTATTTTGCTGTTTGAGTGGTGTTTTTCTTTCTGTCGTCAATTCTTGTCTTAACATGTCCCGGTCGTCGTTTTCCATTAGTTGAGTTATTTAGTTGAGTTATTTTTGTTCAGGCGAAAGAGCCTCATGCGTATCCACCATGTACTACTGGCGCAACATCCCAATGTTCGGGTCTGATACCTCAATAAATCCATGTAGTGCAATGTAGGGTGGGTGATCGATAGTTGGCAAAAGTGATGCTGGATTTTCCAACTTGTGAATTAGAAATCCGGTGCAACTGCATTTGATCGTATTTGTGCTTCACCTACTCCTGGACTATCCTAGACTTGGCTGGCATTATAAAACCATGGATTAAAAAACATAGAAACACCTACAAAACATTAATAACTTGTATAAACCATGGATATACAGCCACTATTCCACTACAAATCATAGAAACGCCATGGAAAAATCGACGTCAAGTCGCCAAGCCATCCGGTTAGGATAGGATACCTTGGCTCCCGAGCCACCAAGCAGAGCCAAGAGGAGAGATTTCTGGATGTTTTGGTGATCATGGTGATCTAGAAACAACGTTAACGGAAGATTTCGCCATCAGAGTCGTTATATAATGGGTATAGGGGTGTATAATATATATATATATATATAGGTGAATCAGGTTTGGAAGGCTTGGGTTTTCACAAATCATTTATCAAGTTCTCATCCTCTTGATATTTTGGCTCAGGTGCCTTGATCCAAAATAGCAAGATTTTTCTTGTTTCCCCACCCAGAACCCACCCTGGTCTCGGGGGTGGCCTTGTTGCCTTCCCTCGAACCTTGAAGGCTCCGTAGGAGCTGGGGTTCGCGCGTGTAACGCACTGATCAGCGCCGTCTTGGGGGACCTCTGGAATCAAAGGGCTTTTGGGGTATCCCAGTAGCTACTCGTAGTTACGAGGCGCGGTCCAGTTTAGACATCCCCTAGTGGGTCTAGGAGCGGGATTTGTCTGGATGGACCCATCCCTCCGGAGTGCAGGGATGCATAGGCCAGAGTTCTGGCTGCGCTGATCAGGCTGCGATGATGCAGCTACCCAAGGCAATAACCTGTAGGGCCACTGTAGGGAACAGGTTCATTGGACTAGCCAGTTGGCTGAAGAGTGTGGAGCGTGAGAGAGAAAAAGAAGTGATAATCTGGTTGGTGAGGTTGGTGGTTTCAAATATGGTTTATTGTTCAACTGTGTTCAACCATCCTTGGGATGCCGATCCCCAAATCCCCAATGAATCATGATGTTCAGGGACGTTGAAAGCATCAATCAGTTATGACTCGTGTGGAAAACTGTGGAACCCAGCCGTTAAAGAGCTCTCAGGGGCGATCTTGAATATTGAAGGAAAGATTTGCAGGAAACCACTGATTCGATGCTTTAAAACTCGTGTTTCTTGTAACGTCCCTGAAATCAACCCAGTTATTTAGTTTGTGTGATGGCTGCTTCCCTCATCCCGGAGGATGAAGTGGATGCCAATACCAGCAGCTGGGTGACTGAGGCTGGCATGGCGACCACATCATTTTTACTGGCAATGTGTGTTTGGAACATATGGGTTTGCCAGAAAAGTATAGAGGACGCCCCACAAAATCTGGTGGTTTATCATCATTTTCCCTGTGACAGCCATGAACTAGATGATGTAAGACGTAAGACATGAATACAGGATACACTGAAAACCTACCATGAATTTCCATTTTCAGACAAACCCATGTTTTTCTCCACAAACTTTGAGGTGTGAGTTTCACCAGTCTCAGCCCTGATGTATTTTTCGGCCAGCTGCACTTTTGGGGACAGGCTGTAGCCCATGCACGTGCACTGTTGGGCGACAGGCTAGGGTCCTGCAGCTCCTGATGAAATCCGGGGGGGGATGTCCTTTTCCTACTGGTTGGTTGATTGAAGGGTTTTCCCTCATTCAACAAGAAATAGATAGACAATAATAACCATAGAATAACCATAGAATACCATATATAACATATAACAACCATGGATGTCAATGGATTTTCCCTTAAATCAAAACATTTTTCCGGATGAGTACCGCACAGTCCCGCACTGGATGTCGAGGACACCTCCACAAGGAGTGCCTGAGGCAGGAACTCAGGGGTGCTACATTGAGTTTGGTTTGAAATTAACCAATGGGCTAACTATTATAGATAGTTAGTTCGCTATATACAAAGATATAAATGGGCTAAGATACTAGTTGTCACTTAAAAAAAATCATCCCATCATTGTAGAGATCGCCAGTGGGGTGACCACTGTTTTTCCAAAGTGACCCTTGGCTATAGGTCAAAAGGAATCCGCCATGTGGCTAGCTGATCATCGAACATCTCCATCAAGCCAATGTTGTTTGATGTTCATTCGCAGTTGACACATGGTTGACTTACTGTTTGTACTAGTAAAATTGGGTGAAGAAAAGCTCTACCTTCGAATAGCCTTTGAAATCATAGATTTGGCTGGGAAAATGAGAGGGACATCCGGAACATCACTTTGAAATCGAGTAGTTTTTTGGGCTTTCAACACAACCTTCAACATTTGCTCATGAAATGGTCAGGCTTCTGTTATCACTGGAATGATTCGAGGGAGGGGCAAAAAAAAAATTGGTGGCTAGGGGGAACATGATATCTGTCTATATCTGGATTCAAAATGTTGCAAAGGGGTTTAGGAATCGAGTCTATCCCCCAACTGGTGGTTGGTGGTTGATCAACCCTTAAATCCAGGCCATATGGTGGTCACCTGACCAGTGGTTGAATCCTAAGACGGTTGATGAAACCTTCATGTTGAATGGTAAATCCCCATGGTAATTCCCTGAAATTCTGCAACAGTCACCCATTAATGTTACATCACTATCATTCACTATCATGCTATCCCCTTGATGTGGCCATTTATGGTATCAAGCATCGAGTTGGTGATAGATCCCAGCATATCCCTGTCATTATCCCATTATATCCCGTGATTATGTGTTAAATCCCATTATACCTCAGGATTTACTGCCAAATCCAGCATCATTGATGATTACATCATATTAGATCCCTCTTAATGTTCCACCGATATCCCATTAATATGGCCCTTTAAGGGAGAAAACAACAATTTTCTGACCAAAGAACTCTGTGTTTTTCCCTAGGCTGCCGCGCTGTTGACCTCGATTCTACTGTGCCTGCCTGAGCTATGGGAGGAATTGGCTCAGGACGGACTGTGAGTTTGAACGGAAGAAGATGTGGGAATGATCCACCTGACCCGTGGTACTCGTAAATTACCATATAGCTATGGAAAATGGCAATGAATTGATAGTTGATTTAGCTATTAAGATGGTGATTTCCCACAGCAAACTGTTAGTTTACCAGGCCGGGTACCCTCCGGTAATCAATGTGGCTAGCTGGGAAATCTTCACTAATGGAGGATTGTCAATGGCATATTTGATAACCAGAATAGTATCAGACAAATGATGATTAATCTATCTGGAGATGATCGTCTACATTAGACTTATTAGATCATATTAGATCAATCTATTTCCTGCAGATACAACCTGCTTCATATTGTGCGTTTTTGCTGTGTAGATGACGCGCAATTTAGAGACCCTTACAGTATCATGCTGGGTATATGGAAATTGAGATTAGAGACCGGCGATAGACGACTGACTTGTATTCGGGTGGACTTGATTCCTGCTCCCATGCTTTCTGAAAAGCCCTCCCGCCCCCAAAAGCGAAAGAATAAGAGGCGGTTTCAGGTCGTGAACCAGGATGCTAGCCTGCCACCAACCAAGCCCATCGTTTACTGTTTAAAAGATGTCCACAAAATGGTGCCTTGCGCATCTCCCAGAAGTGAGCGTTTCTCGTTTTGTGTTTTATCTAGTAGCTAGATTAACTAGTAGTGGGCAAGGCACTCGTTCAACTGCTTTGGTGGGCGCTTCATCAACCTGATCTCAGTTTTTCTACGTCTTCGTATGTCTTTGTTCGTTCATATATGACATGATATGACGGAGTCACTCCATGCTCTGTGTCCAAGTGATGTGCATCATTTGGAACTACGGTCCCTTCGCATCCCTTCGCTCTAACAAGCAAAAATGTATCGAGGTGGTCGACCGATAATAAAACGATCACGAAAACTTCGGTAGTCAATTGTGCAAATATATGGCCATGTGATCGGCTGTTGAGTTTGAAATATTCCAACATACATCATGAATGCATCATGAATACATCATGGGTACATCGTGAAGACAGTGAATACATCTTGAACTACAATTCATCAGCTTAGCCCCACACTTGAAATAACATTAAAAGGAAAACAAGGTTTCACCATTTTGGAAGTTTAAAAATCCACGTTTTAGACAACCCCATCTGCGTATTCCACATTCATGTGTTTGGTCATTGACTACTTGACACCGTCATTCCATGCTCCAGGATACTCTGCTGGCCTTTGGCAACGTGATAGCAGGGGGAGATGCTTCCGGTTGTGCCAGGACTGAGTGACCATTCTGCGTCGCAGCTGATGTCATTTGCCAATCGGAGGAGTGGTAGCTGAAAATTGACTCAGCTTTTTGCCGCAGGTTTCAACATTTTTCCCCCTTGCTTGGGGTTGGCAACTGCAGACTTAGAGACACTTAGAGACAACAATCTTGGCAGAAGTTGTGTAGTGATGCTGATGGCAACTGATGGAATTCCTCGGGATTTTGGGCCTGAGAGGTCCAATCAGAGATTTGGGGTTTCAGGAGCCGCGCTGGAGGTCCAGCCTTTGTTTGATCCTCAGAGTGGGGGCAGATGTGAAGCATTGAGGCATGTAGATTGAGGCGGGAAACATCATCTATGACTATAACATCCGGGGATCAAAGATATGTCGCATGTCTATCTTTTTGCGGAGCCTTTTATGTATCAATCTGCATGAAATTGGTATATTGAAATGCTAGCTTAGGCAATATAATGCCACTGATTTTGTACATCACCTCAGGTGGCTGGAAAACAAGACCTCTCAGCCAGAACCAGGCTGGAGATGTTTGTTTCATTTGAAGACGCTGCCGATAGCATCGAAATTAACAGATGTTCTCTCAGTTGTGAGCCATCTTAGTCTCTAGTTCCAGGTGTTGATCTACGATGTTTATTGCTAATGTTTTTCTGAGAGATCAGCCATGACTGTTGAGCGAAAAGGGCGCATGCGGAATGTGAAAATTGCGGCCAGTATGTGCTTTGTCTAGACAGTTTGATGTTGTTTGCAAAATGATACGAGGCGGTTACTGCTCTCCAGTGTAGCTTCAGTGGTTTGCAAGGCCATTTGGTGCCTGACACCGGTACAGGATGACGTACAACATATGGCAAATGTTCGAAAACCTTTCAAATGTGTTGGTGTGTTCCAAAATCAGGGCCTAATTCGCTCATTTCCTTTAACCCATGCTTAAGATTGATAATTGTGTTTGGGAGATGATTCAGATTCATCCCCCATGGGTTAGTAGATGTATGGATAGCTGCCCCTAAGAATCAACGCCAATCATAGCCTGACAATGCCTGACATCCCAATCTTCTCATGGAAACAATCATATGGAATTATGGAAAGCTGAAATTACCAATTAACTCATTTCGGACTGGCTCAACATTCGGTGCTAACGCTTTCAATGATTTATTGTGTATTTAATAATATATAATATATAATATATAATATATAATATATACTGTAATATAAAATATACCAGTAGTACCGCACAAGGCGGTGGCGGAAGTTTCAAAAATAGGAAGGAGAGGTTGGTTGTTGTGAATCAGGGATGGCAGAGCGAAGCCACTGATGGACTGAAAGGTGCTTGAGGTCTCCTCCTTTTTTTTTCTCTCTCTCTCTCTCTCTTTTTCTCTCTGTTTCTCTATCTTTCTCTGATTATCTACCTACCTACCTACTGATCTATCTGTCTATTTTCTATCTATCTATCTATCTATCTATCCATCTATCTATCTATCTATCTACCTATCTATCTATCTATCTACTTATCTATTTATCTAGCTGTCTCTCTATCTATTTGTCATCTGTCTATCTGTCCATCTATCTATCTATCTATCTATCTGTCTATCTGTCTATCTGTCTATCTGTCTATCTGTCTATCTGTCTATCTGTCTATCTGTCTATCTGTCCATCTATCCATCTATCTATCTATCTTTCTTTCTACCTATCTATCTATCTATCTATCTGCAAGATCAAAAACGAAGAAATTCTGCGAGACTTCCTTAATGTTGTCGACTGATTAGTGTGAGGGCCCCCCCCCCCCCAAACAATTTTAGTCTACTGAATAACTGACCATTTTTTTGCGCCCCCCCACCCTCAACAATTTTTTTAAATTGATTTCAATTTACTTTTAATTGATTTCAATTTGCTTTCAATTGATTTCATTTTACTTTCAATTGATTTCAATTTACTTTTAATTGATTTCAATTTACTTGCAATTTACTTTCAATTGATTTCAATTTACTTTTGATTGATTTCAATTTACTTTCAATTGATTTCAATTTACTTTCAATTGATTTCAATTTACTTTCAATTTACTTTCAATTTACTTTCAATTGATTTCAATTTACTTTTAATTGATTTCAATTTACTTGCAATTTAATTTCAATTGATTTCAATTTACTTTTGATTGATTTCAATTTACTTTCAATTGATTTCAATTTACTTTCAATTGATTTCAATTTACTTTCAATTTACTTTCAATTTACTTTCAATTGATTTCAATTTACTTTTAATTGATTTCAATTTACTTGCAATTTAATTTCAATTGATTTCAATTTACTTTTGATTGATTTCAATTTACTTTCAATTTACTTTCAATTGCTTTCAATTTACTTTCAATTTACTTTCAAGGGTTTTGTTTTTTTTGGAAAACCCCAAAAGTTGTTGGGCACAATAGAGTACCATCCAAACATTCATATTATTGAGTAACTCAGCCACTCATGGGGTACCACCTTGAAAAATTGTCTGGGTGCTGTTTTTTTAATAAGGGTTTAATAAGGCATCTAATTATTTGGAAAACCTTGCATCTTAAAGCTTTATCACAAGTATGGTTTCCTAAAGTAAATGGACCAGCTTTACTCAAAGAAAGGTGGAGAAAGGGTTTTCGTTTTTTTTTTCAACCCCAAAAGTTGTTGGGCACAATAGAGTACCATCCAAACATTCATATTATTGAGTAACTCAGCCATTCATGGTTTTTTCAGACATCTAATTATTTGGAAAAGGTTGGATCTTCAAGCTTTAACACAAATATGGCTTTCTAAAGTAAATGGACCAGCTTTACTCAAAGAAAGGTGGAGAAATGGTTTGGATTTTTTTCAACCCCAAAAGTTGTTGGGCACAATAGGGTACCATCCAAACATTCATATTATTGAGTAACTCAGCCACTCATGGGGTACCACCTTGAAAAATTGTTTGGGTGCTGTTTTTTAATAAGGGTTTAATAAGGCATCTAATTATTTGGAAAACCTTGCATTTTAAAGCTTTATCACAAATATGGTTTCCTAAAGTAAATGGACCAGCTTTACTCAAAGAAAGGTGGAGAAAGGGTTTTTGCTTTTTTCCCCACCTGCCAGGTGAGGGTTGTTAGATTTTATGTCAGTTGCCTCCTCCTCCTGCCGCCTCCTGCCTCCTGCCTCCTCCTCGTCCTCCTTGTCGTCCTCGTCGTCCTCGTCGTCCTCGTCGTCCTCATCCAACTGCGACCCGCGATCCACAGTGTTCGCTGCCGGACCTCAACCACGACCATCCACGACCAGTGTTCCCTGCCGGACCTCAACCACGACCAGCCACGCCCAGTGTTCCCTGCCGGACCTCAATCACGACCAGCCACGCCCAGTGTTCCCTGCCGGACCTCAACCGCGAGTATCCATGCCAAGTGTTCCCTGCCGGACCTCATGTAGGAAGATATGGGACAAAGAATGTGCAGAAGAATGTTAGAAAGAATGTCAGAAAGAATGTCGGAAGATATGCCAGAAGATATGCCAGATAGAATGCCAAATAGAATGCCAGATAGAATGCCAGAAGATATGTCAGAATATATGCCAGAAGATATGCCAGATAGAATGCCAGATAATATGCCAGAAGATATGCCAGATAGAATGCCAGATAGAATGCCAGAAGATTTGCCAGATAGAATGCCAGAAAATATGCCAGAGATATGCCAGATAGAATGCCAGAAGATATGCCAGAAGATATGCCAGAAGATATGCCAGAAGATATGTAGATATGCCAGAAGAATGTCAGATAGAATGCCAGAAGATATGTCAGAATATATGCCAGAAGATATGCCAGATAGAATGCCAGATAGAATGCCAGAAGATATGTCAGATAGATGCCAGAAGATATGCCAGATAGAATGCCAGAAGATTTGCCAGATAGAATGCCAGAATATATGCCAGAAGATATGCCAGATAGATATGCCAGAAGATATGCCAGATAGAATGCCAAATAGAATGTCAGAAGATATGTCAGATAGAATGCCAGAAGATTTGCCAGTAAGAAAATGTATAAATGTCATGGTGGGGATCACACGAAGTAAAGTAATTTTTTCAACCCCAAAAGTTGTTGGGCACAATAGAGTACCATCCAAACATTCATATTATTGAGTAACTCAGCCACTCATGGGGTACCACCTTGAAAAATTGTCTGGGTGCTGTTTTTTAATAAGGGTTTAATAAGGCATCTAATTATTTGGAAAACCTTGCATCTTAAAGCTTTATCACAAATATGGTTTCCTAAAGTAAATGGACCAGCTTTACTCAAAGAAAGGTGGAGAAAGGGTTTTTGCTTTTTTTTTTCAACCCCAAAAGTTGTTGGGCACAATAGGGTACCATCCAAACATTCATATTATTGAGTAACTCAGCCATTCATGGTTTTTTCAGACATCTAATTATTTGGAACAGGTTGGATCTTCAAGCTTTAACACAATTATGGCTTTCTAAAGTAAATGGACCAGCTTTCCTCAAAGAAAGGTGGAGAAATGGTTTTGGATTTTTTTCAACCCCAAAAGTTGTTGGGCACAATAGAGTACCATCCAAACATTCATATTATTGAGTAACTCAGCCACTCATGGGGTACCACCTTGAAAAATTGTTTGGATGCTGTTTTTTAATAAGGGTTTAATAAGGCATCTAATTATTTGGAAAACCTTGCATTTTAAAAGCTTTAACACAAATATTGCTTTCTAAAGTAAATGGACCAGCTTTACTCAAAGAAAGGTGGAGAAAGAGTTTTTGTTTTTTTTTCAACCCCAAAAGTTGTTGGGCACAATAGAGTACCATCCAAACATTCATATTATTGAGTAACTCAGCCACTCATGTGGTACCACCTTGAAAAATTGTCTGGATGCTGTTTTTTAATAAGGGTTTAATAAGGCATCTAATTATTTGGAAAACCTTGCATTTTAAAAGCTTTAACACAAATATTGCTTTCTAAAGTAAATGGACCAGCTTTACTCAAAGAAAGGTGGAGAAATGGTTTTTGTTGTTTTTTTTCAGCCCCAAAAGTTGTTGGGCACAATAGAGTACCATCCAAACATTCATATTATTGAGTAACTCAGCCACTCATGGGGTACCATCTTGAAAAATTGTTTGGATGCTGTTTTTTAATAAGGGTTTAATAAGGCATCTAATTATTTGGAAAACCTTGCATTTTAAAGCTTTAATGTTAAAAAATGAAAAACATAAAAACATTTTTTAAGTATTTAATTAAAAAAAATAAAAATAAATTAAAAAATTATACATTAATTAGGAACATTTTTTTTTAACAAAAAAAAATCTGGAAAAACATTTGCCACAATACAGGCCCCCCCCCACCAAACAGCAGGTTACTGAATAAGGAGGAAACTTTTTGCCACAATAGAGTACCATGCTACTAATCAGGTGCCAACATTAATGTTTGAACATAACAACTTTTAAAACGAAACAATTCTGCGAGACGTCTTCATTTTTTGACCTTGACAACATCCGAAACGAAGCAATTCTGCGAGACTTCCTCATTTGACGAAGTTGAAGACATCAAAAACGACAGAATTCTGTGAGACTTCCTTCAAAAATGGAAAGTTGATTGCAGAGCTGACAGCCTCGCACCAATGCGTTTTGCGATTTTTCCAGTCCACCTGTCTAAAGTACTGCGCCTGCCACGGAAAATTGATGCCAGGTCATACGAAGTGCTGCACCTGTCACGCAAAATCATCTTAGCAAACCTGCACATCTGATACTCCAAAATGCAACCCCTCTCAGGAAATCAACGCCCTGACCTCCTAACATCTCTCATGAACATGTCGTTTGTATTGCGCCTGCAACGGAAAATGCATCTTTGCAGATCCTCTTCAAATGTCCCATGCCTGCCATCGTTTTTGGAAATGTGACAAAACCCTCACGTTTTGCTCACTTTTGAAGAGGTGCACAATCCCTTGTGCCTGCCACGCGAAACGACATCTGAACCTCCAAAAGTGGTCCGAACCCCTAGTGCTTTTAGCATTTTGACTTCGAAATGTGCTTCGCGCCACAACGGCGTGCACTCTTCCGACATCGCAACTCCCAAAAGTGGCCCGAACCTGGCGTGCTTTGTCCATTTTGGCTTCGAAATGTGCTTCGCGCCACAACGGCGTGCACTTTTTCGACATCTCAAGTGCCAAAAGTGGTGCGCACCCCTAGTGTTTTTAACATTTTGACGTGGAAATGTGCTTCGCGCCACAACGGCGTGCATTTTTTCATCTCTCCTCTGGCCAGCTGGCTCCGCACCCGCCGCTCTAGCGAGCCTACTTTTCGACCCTCCGGAGCCACAAATCATTGGAAAAACACAGTGTTTCGCACATCTGCATCTTCTTTCTTCTTACTCTTCTTTCTTCTAATCTTTCTCTTCTCTCTGCCTCTTCCCTGCTCTGCTTTTTCATCTGTCCATATTGTCGGAAGTTTGACTTCTAAACTACCTTCGATAATGTAAAATATTTGATATATAAGATTTTTTATATAATATATAATATATGATACTTGATATATACTATATAATGTATAATATGAAATATATAACATATTATATTTAACATATAGTATATCATATATCAAATTTAATGTATGATATATGATATTTGATGTATATATATATATTGAATTTATTATATATAGTATATAGTAATATAGTATATAGTATATAGTATATAGTATGTAGTATGTAGTATATAGTATATATATAATATATTATAATATATTATATATAATATAATTTAATTTAATACAATATAATTTAATATAATACATAAAATAATATATATTTTAATATATAATATAATATATAATATAATATAATATAATGTAATTTAATATATAATATATAATATTATATTTAATATAATATATAATATAGCATAATATAGCATAATATAATATAATATAATATATCATATAATATATAATATAGTTTAATATAATATAATATAAAATATATAATATAAAATATATAATATAATATAATATAATGTAATTTAATATATAATATAATTTAATATAATATAATATATAATATAATTGAATATAATTTAATATATAATATAGTTTAATATAATATAATTTAACATAAAATAATATAATATAATATGATATAATATGATATAATATAATATGATATAATATAATATATATTATTTGTTTACATTTATGTTATATATATATATATTCTGGTGTGTTATATAACATATGTATATATATATTTAATAAATACATACATATGTCAATTTATACGACCCATCCCCATGTCCGTGGTACCACTTGGCCAGGTGAACGATGGTTTTCACGGGTTACTGGACTCGGATGGGTGGATAGGTGGCTGGGTATTTGGTGCCTCCAAAGGATGGAGCACTCTTTGTGTTGCATATGGGGGTGTCAAAAAAATTAATAGGGAAAAAAACAACAAATTCAATCACTGACTCAGAATTTGCCACATCTCTAAATGGTATTTAAATGGTCATTTGGTGGTGAATGACCCCGTTTCAGATCCTAATATCCCAATCGAATAGCGCTCTGAGTTCGGGATCATCCTCGTCAGCGAAGTCTGTTTCGTTGCTTTGCTTGCTGGGTGAGGCATGGAGCGGAGAATGACAAGAATCGTATCGAATCATGTGTATCTATAGTAGAAATCCAAGTCACAGATGACATAGTTGACTAATGTATGTTTCTCAAGATTATAGTAGTATGTAATACGATTAGATAATTCATTATTATTCTTCATTACAGAAGCAGTATCAGTAGCAGATAATTACTATTGGTTTCGTCATTCGGCATTCGACACGACCAATATTTGAAGGCGCAAGCCGACGAGGGTCTCTTCATGGCTGCCTTCCGGACGCTTCAACGAGCGCAGGCGCGCTTGTCTCATGGGCCAGACACTGATGGCCGAAACAGAACCACGGAGATTCATTTATAGTCCAACTATACTCTATAGAATGAAAATTAAGTAAGTACAACTTTATAATTTGATATTACATATTACATATTACATATTTTGAGAATTAGATATGCAACTACAAACCATTATTGGTGATGTCCGTATCCAGTAATACAATATTATGTGTGTGTATATATATATATGAATATGTATACATATTATCCAGCATATTGCACTGACTCTCGGCTTGAAAGCTGCAGGCCATGGCACGTCAAAGCAATCACAGCAGTCACGACCTCAGAGTGAGCGACGATGCAAAGGTCAGAGATGTTGGCATGGCATCTGAGGCCTTTGCAAAAACACAGCGACTTTGAAACCGAGGTTGCAACATCCAAATGGACATGTGGTATTTATATTATATATATATCATCTATTGGCTGATTGTTGCAAGTAGATAGCATGTAGGAAGGCAATGGAACACCATGGATTTTCCATGGTGCCATGTGATCCATGTCGACAGGCGACCGTGCGGAAGCTGCGTTGCAGGGCTTGAGGGCGGCGGCCCTTCAGCGTTGGGTCCCTGTGAAAAATCCAGCCCTACTGTTTGGTTGTTGTGGTTGTTGTGGTTGCTGTTGTTGTTGTTGTCGTCGCCGTCGTCGTCCTTCTTCCTATGATTATTATTTCTTGCTCTGGCTCCTCCTACTCCGCTTTCTTCTTAAGGTTGGCATTTTCAGATGATCAACGACGTGCCACGCGCTGAAGCATATGCCACTTAGCCGCGTGATGAATTGAGATGCTTTGTGTTTGCATGAAATTGTTTGACCTCAACATTGTACTGTTGGTGATATGTACACCCAGTATATACATATACAATCATATACATCATTGTATATCCCATTAAATTCCTATGGCATTCCCAGATTTGGCCAATAACCAAGGGTGCTGCTTTAGTTCACATCATACCGGCGGGTCAGGACCGTGCCATCCAAGCTGCAGTCTCGACGCTCTCTCAAAGGCCAGAGGCCGGGTCATGACAACTCAGGGACAGGGGAGACAGCAGCGGTTATGGGAATAGTTGTTTGATATAAGGGTATGTTGATTGGGAGTATGTCTTTGTGTACGCCAGGTAAGAGTTGATAGAGTTGTAAGGATAGACTTTGAAGGACTTGGATCAGAGATGGGACTGGAGCACTCCAACAGCAAAATTACCATTTCTCGGACTCGTTTTGTGGAGAGATGTGGAGAGCAACATGCCAAGAGGTTCCTTTGTGCCGTATACAACCTAAGTTGTTCAAAATCTAAGATGCTGATCATGGATTCTCAACGATACTCTTTGGGATGGACATCCAGAGGTTTATAGGTACAAACCTAATGCATTTCAAACATCGGTGTGTGTTCCATGTTTTCCTCGCAACATGGAGTGATTACCGTGACTTTCAACTTTTTTTCGGAATGTCAAGGGATGATAGGGATGGGGGTGGCTGAACCATCAACCAGAAAAGGCATCCCCATCATTTATGACCAACCTTTTCCATCCTTTTCCGGTGATTCCTATTGAAACTTGGCCTTGGCACCGCCGCACAGAAGAGCTCGTCCATTCGATTTCGCGTCCCCTCGCCGGCGCCGCGCGCCGGGGAAGCCGCCTGGGCCATGCCGCAGTTCAGCTTGGAACAGGTCAGGAGCATCATGGACCAAACTGAGAAGATCCGTTCCTTTGCTCACGGTTTTGCTGGGCAAAGTTGATCTAAGTTGGGAATGATCGGCCTATATATATATATACATATACACGCACAACGCCTGGGCTTTGCCCAGGCGTTGCAGCGTAGAGGTTTCCCATTCCCAAACAAATATTGATGCAACTTCACAAAATTCCCATGGGAGAAACAACAAAGGTACTAGGGAATATTAAAGTCCCACCCCTGTTAAACCTTAAATTCCTCTGGGAAAACAACAAAGGTACTAGGGAATATTAAACTCCACCCCCGTTAAACTTTGCATTCAGTTGGGAAGATCAACAAAGGTATTTGGGAATACATTAAAGTCCCACCACCGTTAAACTTTACATTCATTGAAGATCTTCAATAAGGGTTTAATTCTCCCACCCCCGTTGAACTTCTACATTCATTGAAGATCTTCAATAAGGGTTTAATTCTCCCACCCCCGTTAAACTTCTACATTCATTGAAGATCTTCAATGAGGGTTGAATTCTCCCACCCCCCATTAAACTTCTACATTCATTGAACATCTTCAATGAGGGTTGAATTCTCCCACCCCCCGTTAAACTTCTACATTTATTGAAGATCTTCGATAAGGGTTTAATTCTCCCACCCCCGTTGAACTTTACATTCATTGAAGATGTTTAACAAGGGTTTGATGATGATGATGATGGTGATGATGGTGATGATGATGATCATGATGATCATGCTGATGATGATGATCATGATGATGATCATGATGATGATGATGCGTTGCCTGTCATGGTTGCGGTTCCGGGCAAAACCCAGGCATTTGCTGCATATATTTATATATAATATATATATATACATGGGACTGAATGATTTCTTGTGATGAAGTCGTATGCTGTAGATGTAGAATGCTGTAGAGGGAAGTCTGCGGATGGTTGGTTCTTTCTTGAGAAACAGTCTTTCCCTTTGGGAGCCACGACTGAATGATGACAGTTTCGCGGTGTAGGTCCAATCCCAAAAATGTTTCATATCCCGTACCCCGTTCCAATTTTCATTGACCCCATCCCCGTCATTCCTGATATTCTTGCTTCCTTTTATCATCGTTGCTTGATCATGTTGGTAGATTCACCAGCCCATTCTTCATGATTCATAGAGGATCGCATAGGTAGATTATAAATATATATATATTTGCATACACGGCTGGTTTCATCTTAATTCCAAGTTTCCCCTCCAATCAAAATGAGCCTGTCGGAACATGTAGGGAAAACCGCTTAAATTTGCTGGTTGAACACATTGTTCCCTATCCAGCCATCAATGGCACACCGATGGCCATAAATTGGGGGTAAATCCGACTAGATTGTTGGATATATCTCCCATTCATGTCCCATTGATACCCAATTCGTACCCCATTAATGTTCCATCAATATATACATATTATATATATATACCTACCATTCATATGGCAATATTTTGGGATATCCCCTGAATTCTCAGACATACCCAACTATCAAGTTGGTGATATTCTGGGGTCCATCACATCCCTTTCATTATCCAATAATTATATATAATTATGTGTTAAATCGCATGACACCTGGGATTTTACTGCAAAATCCAGTATTCATTGATGCTCAAATTTCTCTTTTTGATGGTTAAGTATGGTTAAGTACCCATATCATGGTTGCTTAAACATCCATGGTAAATCCCCATGGTAAATACTTGAAATTCGGCATTAGCCCATTCATGTTCCATCGATATCCCCTAGAAAAAACCAGCCATTTATGGTATAAAGACATATAAAGCATCAAGTTGGTGACATATCCCAGCATTCCCCTATCATTATCTTATTATATCCCATTTTTATGTGTTAAATCCCATTATACCTCAGGATTTACTGCGGCAGTGGACAATTCCCTATGAATGGAGTTTTCAATGGGAAAATCATCGAACCAAGCGGTGGGTTTTCCAGCAAGCCATGTCGTTTTTTTTGGATACAGTAGTAACTACCATAATATGATATTATATGATATATGATGTAAATAAATGATGTAGGTATCCACAAATATCCCTATCATTATCCCATCATATGTGTTAAATCATCTTCAATCCCATGGTTTATCCCTATCATTATCCCTATGATACCAATTCAATCCCATGATTCCTTCAGGCTCTCTGAGCATCATCGCCCACGTGGATCATGGCAAGACCACCCTGGCGGATTCCTTGGTCTCTCGCGCCGGCATCATCTCCACGAAAGCGGCTGGGGACACCAAGTTCACCCACGGGCGCAAGGAGTCCGGTGGGAGCTCGGTGGGATTTTTGGGTAGAGCCATGGAGAAAAGATGAGAAAAGTAAGTACAGATAATTATATATATAATGTATATATATATATATGGGATAAGCCAGTGCTGGAACTTACTAACCAGGATTAAATGATTCAAACGGTATAGTTTCCGAAGTTAATTTTTACACATTTACCAAATCTAGGGTCCACGATTTACCTTAAATCCATTTAAATCCTCCATTCATCCAGGATGAGCAGGAACGTGGCGTCACCATCAAGAGTACCGGTGTGACCTTGTGCTTGGAGCACGACCAGGGAGATGGCCATGGACAGCAGCCCTACCTGGTGAATCTCATCGATTCCCCTGGCCACGTGGATTTCTCCTCCGAGGCGCTGAATTTGGATTTCCGGAGGTCTTGTTATGTGTATATATGTGTAACTCTTCAATTTTTTTCTCGGCCTTTTAGGTCTAGCCTGCGGCGGTCATGCGATCAGCCAACCTGGGGTCAGATTGGTTGATAATCAGGCATGATCGATCGGTCGCGATCCACGCAGGCCGAGATCTTTGCCAATTCCTTTACATACACCGGAAACTCTGGGAATGGTTCCAGAATCGGGTGCTTGGTGAGTCGGGCCTTAATGTGCTGCCAAAACGACTCAGCGAAACAAAAATTCATTCCTGCTGGGTATTCTTTTGCCACAGCAGTTTTAAAGCTGCCATCGGCAGCTCTGCCAATAAGTGGGACGGTCGGCCGCTCCAGATGGCGTTGCTCATTTGCCGCGAAGATGCTGGGGATCGCTGCATGGGCGTAGAGCAACGTGGTTGGCTTAACTCCTTGGGCGCCGTGACGCCATTGCTGAAATGTATATTGCCGAAATGGCATTCCTGCGCTGCAAAGGAGTTTGATGATTGCAGTTCGCCAAACCGATGGGCGTTCGATTTGATAGGGCGGTGCAGGATGTTCAAGTGCAACGGCTCCTCCTTGGCAGGCCACGCAAGCACCAAGATGTAGTCCTTTCAAGAGTAGGCCGTTCCCGATCAGGATCTGCTGGAGCTCCTTGAGGCTAAGTTGCTCCAGGCCCCAAGGACAATCTGGCGCTCCCCTTAATGGTCGAGGACCCTTCAAGGGCTTGCCCTCCTCATCTAGTTGCTCTTCAAATCTGGCGCCACTCCATGTTTCACACGGAGG